GGCAATCCTACTTCTGTAGTGATACTGCCTCGGAAACCCGAGGGGGGGTCGCTATGAGTCAGGTTTGACTCGATGGCACATAACAACAACAACAACAATATATATATATATAGAGAGAGAGAGAGAGAGAGAGAGAGAAATTTATATTAGGAAAATGGCTCACAAACGAATAGAAGCCAGCAAGTCCAAAGTCCCTGGAGCAAACGTCAGGCTGGAGGCTTTTCCTAGCTTCTGCAACTGCAGGGGCTGAGAAGCTCAAGGCTGTCAGGCAGTACACTGGCTGTTGACTCCAAAGAATGACGAATCCAAGATCTTCAGGCCGAACGGTGGACTGCTCACTCACGGACAGTTGTAGGAAGCACAACAGAATCCCGATCCACAGAAGAATATCTCTCTTCCCAGGATGTCCCTGGATATCCTGGAAGCAGGCCACACCCCTAGGGAAACTCCCCTTGAACAGATTGGCCACTTAGACCAGCCATCCGATCCCATCATGGGAACAACCACACAGAACTGGGGTCCAGCCAAGTTGACACACAGCTCCACCTATCACAGAAGGCTTCCATTTTGTGGTGTTTAGTTACAGCTAAGACAGTGTGCAAGGAATCATGGTGGTGCAATGGTTAAGCACTTGGTTGCCAACTAAAAGGTTGGTGGTTCAAATCCACCCAGGAACTCTGCAGGAAAAAGACCTAGCAATTTGCTTCTATAGAGATTACAACCAAGAAAACTCTATGGGGCAGTTCTTCTCTGTCACATGGGATCAGTAGGATTTATAATCGAATCAGTGACACCTAAAACAAGAAGACAGTATGCAAGTGCAGTAAGACAGTGTTCAAGACCTGTACAGCAAAAAATACAAAACATCGCAGAGGTAAATTAAAGAATTGAATATTTAATTTATCTAAATAAATGTAAAATATACTATGTTCGTGGATCAGAAAACTCATCAGGATGTCATTCCCAAATTGATCTTTAGATTCAGTGCAATTCCAGTTAAAATCTCAGGGGTTTTGTTTTGTTTTTTGTAAAAATTTACAAGCTTATTAAAAAATTCATGTGGAAATGAAAGTACCTAGAAGAGTCAAAATGCGTTTGGGGAAAAAAAGGATACACAGTACCTGACTTCAAGACTTAACTATAAAGCATCCTGTAAAAAGGGGATGAGGGTACTGTCTCACCTCCTCTAACTTCACAAAAGGGAAGAAATATCACAGTCAACAACGCAAGGCTGATTCCTATGAAGTAAAGATCAGACATGCTTCCACCTTTCAATCTTTTTACTAATTCTGATACCAACCATCCCCCCCCCGCCATAGCACTTTACTTCTCTGCTGGGTTTAATAATCCATTGCAGTAGCCACCCAGCACTTACAGACAATACTCATGATTATAGAGTTTATTAAGGAAGTAACAGATTACATTTTAGGATCAGAAACAATTCTGTATACAGTTCTTCAATCAGGACAGCTTCTCAGCTGTGCTGCAGGCACACTTCTCTCTGGCCTCTGCCTGTGCCCTGTTCAGGCAAGTGTTACAAAGCTCTTTTAGTTCTCCCAACAGGTACCCAGAGAGGCACCTCACTCCATCAGCAAGCCTCCTGCCCGGAAGTACTCCGCTTTCTTGTTCCATGGCCAGGAAGTCCATTGCTCTGTCTCATGCCAGTGTCTTGGTTCTACTGCCTCTGCTGCTGCTTCTTGTCATCTCTCACTTCTCTCACTGACTCAGAAAAGTGTTACAGCTCTCTCTCTCTTTCTGTCTCTCTCTCTATCTCCTGGGTCAAGGAGGTGTTTAGCACATGGATCTCAGGTCCAAAGGACACACTTTACTCCTGGCTCTTCTTTCTTAATGGTAATGAGATTCCCCCTGTCCATTTCTGGGATGTATCATTTAAGCCTAGCAAGATGGCAGATTGACCAGTCCCCACATGAGAGTTCCATACACCTCATTTGCATGGTCCCACCCACACAAGGATGCCATGTACTTTATGTACATTATTAGCAAACTGTCCAATCTCCTTGATAGGCCACAGGCACTCCACATTTGAATAGTCTTACCCAGTCATCTGGTGGAAGTCACAAAGACTATGGCTAGTAATTCACTGCACTGCACTACAAGAATTAAGACAGTGTGCTATTGGTGCCAAAATAATCCAATCTAGCAACAGAAGAAAATAGATTATCTAGAAATAGATCCATACATACTGTCAAAAATTAACTTTGAAAAAGGTGCAAAGGCAATTCAATGGAGAAAGGACATTCTTTTCAACAAATAATGCTGGATGTCTATATGAAAAAAGAACTCTGATTTATACCTCACACCATAAACAAAAATTAACTCAAAATGAATCACAGACCTAAATATAAAACCTGAAACTATAAAACTTTTAGATGTATGATGTTAGATTAGGGAAAGATTTCTTAAATAAGACACCAAAAGCATAGTCCATTAAAAAAATATTTAGTTTATAAAAAATGGACTTTTTCAAAATTAAGAACTTTTGTTCTTCAAAAGACACTGTTAAAAGAGTGAAGAAGAAGAAAAGAAAAAACTGAAGACATATTACAAAAGCAAGGAATGAATAAATTTGGGGCATCAGTTGCCTCTCAAGGAGAATAGGTCAGGTCAGGGTCACAGAAGGGCACAGTGGACTTCCAAGATTATGATAACATTCTTTTTCTTAAACTAGATGATGGATAGGTGAGTGTTCATTCTATCATTATTTTTTATATCTTTTTTAACTGCTTTATTGATATATAATTCACACATCAAACAATCTACCCATTTAAAGTATACAATTAATTAATTCAGTTGTTTTAGTATATTTGTAAAAATAGTGTGTTATTGTCAGACCTCGTCTAACTTCACAAGGAAGAGGGGAAAGAATCAAGATCATCAGCCCAAGGGTGATTCATATGAGGTGGAAGTCAGACATAAATCTTCTCTTCAACCTTTTTACCTAAGTCTGACATCAGCCATACCTCCCACACTCCCACATCACTCTCTCTTTCTCTGCTGTGTTTGATAAGTCATTGCAGTGGCCACACAGAACTCACAAACTATACTTACAGCTTTGGAGTTTATTAGGGAAGCAACAGGTTACAATTCAGGATTAGGAACAACTCAGGATACAGTTCTTCAGTTAGGACAGCCTCTGCTCAGCACCACCCACAGGCAGGCCTCTCTCTCTCTCTCTCTCTCTCTCTCT